CATCATCATCATCATCATCCCTCGTATTACTGCTGCTCCTACAGCCTCTGCCGATGTGCAAAGTATTCAGGTAAGGAGGGAAAAGGCTGGCAAAGAGCAAGCGGACTGGCAAGTGCTCTGCACAGACTCACGAACAGAAAATAAACTGAAATCTCCAAGCACTGCCTAACTAAACTGAGGCAGAGTAACAAATGACTTACGGGGATAAACAATAGGTGGATTAGTTAAATGTGCCTTAATGTATGAAAGAAATATAGTTTTAAACCCATTAATATAAATCAGGTAATACGCTGCCTGGAAGACTTGGTCAGTAGGAGGCCAGCCCAGAGTCACAAACAGAGGCCTCCAACGACCAGATAAAGTATCAAATGCGTTTTTAGCTCTTCCTATAAAAATAGTATCTGGTAAAACATCATCTCGTACCTTTGGTTTCTCTAATAACAACAGCATTTAATAATCCTTTTCCTCTTACAGTAGTTACAATGTCAGAAGGCAGCTTCATGAGTTCATTTCTCAAGATGGAACCCATTTTTTCTGCATTTTCAGCAAGGTTTTCTTCTTCCAAAACCTACGTTCAAAGAGAAATTACACAAACGTTAAGATTGCCTTTTTTTATGTTGTCCTTTGGAGAGGAATGTGAACTATGAGCAAAGGAAGAACATGATCAGATAAAGACCAGAGTAACTTAAATTTCATTTCTATTTTTCAAAGACTGTACCAGTTTGATTTCTAATCAAACATATACAAGCTCAGACAAAGAGCCTGGCTTTAGTCACAAGTCCATTGTCAATCTGATTCCGTGGCAAAAAGAGGATTAAAATTTGTTTAATGCAAATGATGTATTTTCTTATTAGCTGAATAAATGAATGGACTTAATATTAATTTTTGAACTGCAATAGAGTTTCCTTTGTTCTTTTTCCCTAAAAAGTTCATCCTCAGAGATTACACACTAATTTAATGCCTTTCAGAGGCACTTAAGGAATAAGTCTAAAAGCATTCAAGTCCCCACTTTAACAACAACGACAGAAAAAGCCACGTGTGCCAAGCCCGACAGGCCAGGCCTGGCCAGAGTGAGAGCTCTGTGAGGACCAGCCAGGGCCTTCGGGCCCGAAGCCCCTAGGTGGTCGCAAACTTGGGAAGCCCACGGAGGATTCCTGTCTCCTAGGCCAAGGTTAAATTACTTTTTGAGAATGTCTTGCCCCTAAAATCTTCCCTCTGTACTTTGAGTCCTGTAATACTTGGTGATCTTACTACATTTCTCATTTCACCAGTGGGCTCAAACTCAAGGCTCTTCAATGCCACCAAAAGGACTGGATACCCTACAGCTGCCAGCAGTTCTCACCTCCAGGGCTGCAATGGCCACTCGGCAGCCTAGGGGATTGCCACCATACGTTGAACCGTGCTCCCCTGGCTTAATGGTCAGCATTATTTCATCATCACACAACACCGCGGACACCTGAAAGACACAAAATTCAGTGCTGCCCGAGTTTTTTCTCAGATGAACTACCCTTTTTTATTCCTTTAAAAAAAAATTTTTTTTATTTATTTATTTTCAACTGAAGTCCCGTCAGTTACAACGTGTCAATCTCTGGTGCACAGCACAATCACATGAACTATTCTTATTCTCACCAGGAACACAAATATTTATGAAGCTGAAATTAACTGCGACAAAGTGTCAACCAACAAAAGCTACACATGTGCCACCTTAACTACCAGTGACAAACTGAGTTAACGCCCTGACACATTACAGCCATACCAGGCACACTTTGATGGCACAGAATAGCATTCTGTAACTAAAAGAAAGCTGTATCTGCAACGACATAATTAAGAATTCTTTCCACACTCAAAGTGCAATGCTCTGCCTAACTGCTTAGAAAACAATGTCCTGCACTGCACTTCAGGGCCCGCTGATCCGCACCAATTACTGGCTCTCAATAGCAAACCCAAAGAAAGAACTACAATTAAACATTAATGTTTTCCAACCTCTACATTAGTCCGTCGTGGTTTTGAACAATTAGTTTAAACAATGAGAAACACAATGCTATGTTCCTGAACAATGGGGGAAGAGCATAGGAGTCCACAGGAGTACTCTTGGGATAAAATGTTTCCATGCAAAACAAATGCCATGGAGCAAATCCCAAGGCACACTCAATTCTTCAGCTAAAATTAACTAAGTGGGTCACCCCACGGAACTCTGAAACAGTTTTTATTATACATATTCCAGGTGACCTATATACATAGCACACTAAGTAAAACCAAACCATCAGAAAGACATTATCGTCACAATCAGCTAATATAAAAATATCTTAAGGATTCATGAGCAGGGAATAGAAAGAGAGGTTGAACATTCAACTTACAGGGTATAAACCACCAGAAAGTGCCTTTCCTAGAAGGACTAAATCAGGTCTGACATTTTCGTGATCAACAGCCAGCCATCTCCCAGTCCTGCCCAATCCTGTCTGTATTTCATCAGCAATAAACAGAACCTTTGGAAAATAACAAAACAGCATTAATTATTATTTTCATTTCCATAGGGAAGCAGTGATCTTTATTTCACTCTTCCCTGCACAAATCTGTCATTCTGACATTCCCCCAGATTTGTGAAAACATCTGAATCACCCACCCAACTTCAACAGCGTCCTATGAGAATCCTGTGGACACACTAATTACTGCCTGTGTCAGGCCACTGTCTCCCCAGAGGCCCATTCTGCACTGTCCTACACAGTGGAAAGGCATTTATGCAAAGTGACGGTTTTGTGGGGTTTGTTTTTTTTTTTAATATAATTGCTCTCTAGGAATAAATTAATCCCCTTGCTTATTCCATTAATATTTATTAATATTTATTTCTTATTAAATACTTTTTAGGTTGGTGGGGAAAGGGGAAGAGAGCTTAAATTCTGGAGCAAAGGGTCACGACAAAGAGTTTGAGAAGGATCAGAGCACAGGCTGCTGGAGTGGAGGGGAGGCACCAGGGTCAGGGCCCAGTCGGTAAGCTGCTGATAGAGAGAGCGCCCTGGAAGGTTCTGAAGCTTTTCGATGGCATCTCCCTCTAGTGGAGAGAGGATGTAATCTCCGTGTTTTATCCCATCAGTGGAACCCTTAAGAGATGCTGGCAGGCGGGCAGGTGGGCGACCTGGTGCTGGGTGCAGAGCTCTCGCACGCCTATGAGGTAGCCTGGGTCCGGGACGACCACGCCTGCTTCACCCTGGATCGGTTCTACCATGAACGCAGCAACGTTGGGATCCTGAAGAGCACGCTACGAAAACAGCATGGATATGTTTTCAGTAACTTCCCTTCCAACCTACCTAGAAACCTGAAATCACATAATGCATGTATTTCCCCACAGAGGATCGGTGTACAATTTAGGTTTTTGCACTAACTTCTATTCTAACTTCAAAGTATAACTTTTCTGACTGACATTCGATTACCAAAAGCTCCAAACACTTCAGCTTTAAGCTACCGCATCTTATATTTTCTAATACATACTTACATGCACTATAAATAAAAACTAATGAAAATGGCCTTTTAAAGAGCCATTCAATAGACACATCAAAAGCGTTCTCTTTTGATTTTACAAGTCTTCCACTGCCTAATTTTTTGTTTGGTTTGTTTGTTTTCACTGCGTAATTTTAGAAAGCTAGCTGAAAACTAATTTTGTCAACTAAAGTAATTAACAGGTAATACCCAAATTAATACTTATGCAGGAGACAAATCTAGAAGCTGGTTGTCAGGAATAGACCACAGAACCTGGTTTCCCCATGTTGGAAACTGACCATTACAGAGAGCAAGTCTGAAGTCCTGGCCTAACTTAAATACAGCCGATTCTCAGTACAGCCACATCTCTGGTTTTTAATTCATACAGTCAACAAATTTAAGTCCTATTTACTATGGGCAAAAGGGCCATGGTGCTCGCTGAGGTACCTCAAGGGCAGGCAGGTCATTATATGGAATGATTTCAAAACCGGGCATAAATGGTCCAAAACCATCGTAACTGGTTGGGTCTGTGGAACTGGAGATAGCAGACAATGTTCTACCCCAAAAGTTTCCAGCTAGAAAGAAGAAATAAACACTGATTATTTCAAACAAACCAGCAAATTTAATAACCACTGTCCCCTAAAAATACCTTAGGAAGCTTGATTTTTAAAAAAGTAAAGGTTTGCTTTAGAGAGCCTCCAGGGAGCCCATTCGTTTAAACAAAATCTGACATTGAACACCCTGGTTCATATGATCACTACCGGCCGGCCTCGCAATGACTATTTTAGGCACTTCTCCATCAAGCCTCCCGACTTGATATATAGCCCCTGAGGGCCAACATTTGACTTTTCTTTCAGTAATCCCAAACCCTAACGACTGAGGCATTCAATGCATGTTTTTCTAGACACATTTACGACAGTGATATGAGAAAAAGACAACCCTTTGTAGAGAATTAGCAGTTTCCTTTTAGAAATCCAACACTACAGGCTAACGACAGTACAGAATGAGTTTTAAATTTCATTTGGATAAAACATCCTCAGGCAGTCCAAATACTTTCAATTTGCCTTCCTTGCTATTATAGCCTGTTATGTGCTAAAGGGCAGGCATCTGCCTTTGCTCAGGAACAATTTTTACCCATTAATTTATTTCACTCATCATTTGAGGACCTACCATATATTAGACACTGTTCTAGGCACTGGGGATAGATTGATGACTGGCAAGATAATTTCAATGTGGTTAAATTCAAGGAAGGAAAGAAAGCAGAATAAGAGAGGGCTGGAGGTTCACCCTTTTTTTTTTTAATATCTTCCCACCACCTCTGCCAGCAGCAACTCAACTAACCCAGTACCAAGTGATTCAAAGTTGGCTTCACAGCAGCTCTAAACATGACTCTTGCAAAGCTTCTCTTCAGCTGTGAGTAATCCCCATTTGACTTGTCCACAGCAAAAGCATACTGATTCTGCCCAGGCTTGTGTAACAGAAAATGCACCAACCAGACCATGAGCCTCTCTCCCCGCTCTCCTCCATGTGGCCTCAGGCGTCTCCTTTCTGCCGCTTACCCTGCAGATTAAGGGACTTGCAGTGGGGACAGTCTCCACCCACTGACTCACCAGCTTCTTTCAACACCCAGCTGCAACACCTCTGCACCCTGTGCTAACGTGAGAGAGACTGGACCCGGTCCGTAAGGACGAAAATCACCAGGAAGGCCATTTTGTTTGCAAGAGACAGTGATGTTGTCCTACAACTAAGGCACAAGATTCTAAAGTGGCAGGTCACAGAGCTGTGCAGAGACTTTTTCTTCTTCAGAAACAGGAATCTGTCACCCCCTTAAATACCACCTATGGCTGGCTGTCAGTTGAACTCTGGATTCTATTATATTATGATGTTTACAATTTACCTGCATGTGTTCACAGGCAAAATATTTAATGATGTTGACAATCAGGTGAATGAATCTTGACCACATGCAGTGACAAATTTATCCATACTCTACATTTTTAAAAATGAAAATCAGTTTCTAAAAAGTCAGAACCTAGCCATTGAAAATTATTATAAGATCCCAAAAGTTACACTGTATCATCTGAATTAACTGTTGGTCTCTCCACTCAGTATTCAAGCCACCCCTCTCCACCACTCCCGGAAATATATCCTGGGCAACTCTGGCCCTCCTCTTCCAACAGCTTCTAACAACATGATACAATAATACATTAAACATTAAGATTCAAGCTTCATATCGTACCTAGGACATGGCCCTACCCCAAAATTACTCAACCCCAACAACGTCACGAAAATGCTCTACCAGTAAGACCACCTAATTAACCGGAAAACTGCTATGAAAAAAACCAGATAAGCAGATGAGAAACAAATCAAACAGTCACTCATTTTAAGGAGGGAGTAGCAGGGAGTTATTTAGGGGAAAAAAAAAATCCCATATATGAAGAAATGCTTGGGAATAAACCCAAGAAAGGAAATCCCTCAACTCTATGAAACATTCAGCAAATAACATACATGAGGCAAACATATTAGAAATATTTCATCAGTAAATTAAAATGATAAATGATATTCTATGTTTAAATCACAGCAGTTAATGCTGGCTTTCACCTACCTGCAAAAACAATCTTCGCTTTGTATTTCGGGATACCCTTAACGTCATATCCCCATCTACGAGCAAGTTTGCAAGCAGTCTCTCCAGCCTCCACTCCTACAGAAGAGAATATTTTTCACTTTTAAAAAATGTTTACAACTATCAGAAAATAATATTTTCTTGGCTACATAACCAAAATTAAAAAAAAGGAAGCATCTTACCTGTATTCATAGGAAGGACTTTGTGGTAGTTGAAGAGTTTAGTGACATGCTCTTCATATTCGCCAAGCACGTCATTGTAGAAAGCCCTAGATGTTAAGGTCAGTTTGTCTGCCTGACTTTTCAGAGCGTTCACAATCTTTGGATGGCAATGCCCTTGGTTGACAGCACTGTAAGCACTCAGGAAGTCAAAATATTTTCTGCCTTCTACATCCCATACATAAATACCTGAAATATGTAAGGAAAATAATTTTGGAAAAATCACTAAATTACACGAAGTTCAAAGATTAATAAGATGGCTAGCAAGCCCTCTGAATACCTACACATGAGCCCCTATTCAATGCAGAATTGTGGCTAAGGCCTATTTTAGCACAAGCATGATAAACTCTGGTTTATAAGGAATTCTCTTTACCCGTCCAGCTTCAAATTACACGTTTAGCAAAAATAGCAAAACATGAAAAGACTTTATAAATTCTAGAGTGAAATGTTTATTCCTGGAAAGAACAGAGTTTGGAATTTAAAGTTGGAATTTAAAGTAAGTTATGCATAACATAAAAGTCACAACTGGTTGATTGTAAAAACCAACAGAATGGGAAAAAAAAATTTCCAAATCATATATCTATCCAATAAGGATCTAATATCCAGAATTCTTAAAACTCAACAACAAAAAGACACACAACCCAATTAAAAAATGGGCAAAGAATCTGAATGGACATTTCTCCAAAAATATACAAATGACCAACAGGCACATGAAAAGATGCTCAGTATCATCAGTCATTAGAGAAAAGCACATCAAAACCACAAGAATAGCATTTTACACCCACTAGGATGGTGATCATTTTTTTAAAAAGGAAAACAAGTATTGGCAAGGATGTGGAGAAACTGGAACTCTCACATACCACTAGTGAGAATGCAAAATCGTGCAGCAGCTATTGAAAACAGTTTGGCAGTTCCTCAACAAGTTAAACAGAAAATTACCACATGACCCAGCAATCCTACTCCTAGGAAGAGGTGGAAGACAAAAGAAGTGGAAGACAACTGTTTAAACAAAAATCTGTACGCCGATGCTCACAGCAGCACTACACGAAATAGCCGAAAGGTGCAAACCACCCAAATGTCCATCAACTGATGAACGGACAGACATACGGTGTGTTCATAAAATGGAATGTAATTCAACCCTAGACAGCAGCAATGAAGTACTAACACGTGCTACAGCACAGATGGACCCTGAAAACACTGTTACGTGAAAGAAGCCAGACACAACAGGTCATGTATCATCTGATGCCACTTAGAGGAAATGTCCGGATAGGCAAATAAATTCCCAGAAACAGAAAGCAGATTAGTAGCTGCCAGGTTCTAGAAGGAAGAGAACGGGGAGGGACTGTTTCATAAGCATGGGGTTTCCTCTTGGGGTAACTTTTAAAAGTTCCAGAACTAGCTAGAGGTGACAGTTGTACAATGCTGCAAACGTTACTTAATGCCACTCAACTGCATGATTAAAGTGGTAAATATTATGTATATTTTACAACTTTTTTTTAGTTGACCGTAGATATTAAAATACATTGGGGGCTTAACATCTAATTTTTACCATGTACTTAACACACTGTGTTAGGCGCTTTTGGAGCTTATCCCATCAAAAACCCCCATGAGAGTGCCACCACCCCTACAGCAGAGAAAAGTAGTAACCAGCCCAAGCTGGCACACTTGGAACCACGACCTGCACCCAGGCAGTCAGATTCTAGAGTGCATGCTCCGCTACTATCAGAATATTTTTGCAAACCAAACTGCTTCCAAATTTGTAATGTACAAATCTAGATTTTCATTTGTTCAAAAGGGGATATATCTGTATTACAGTACTGGTTCCAAATAAAATACAGGCAAATGATACAAAATGTTGAATACTCTTATGCATCATCTTCTGACCCAAAGCTAAGTAATAAACTTTGGTTTTATTCAGTTATCGCTATTATTTCAAAAGGTGGATTAAATCACCACTTGGCAACAATCAGTCATCATTTATTCAGGCAAGAATCATTAACAGATGCTAAAAGTGGGAGTAAAAGTTTGATGAGTAACAGGATATTTGCAGCCTCAAACCATGTCTCTGTAAGATATTTAAAAGGGAAAAACAGCCACATTGCAGTGGAGAAACCTGGCAGACACCACCTTACCAGCCAACCTCAAACTGAGGTTCAGTCTAAAAATTATTGGCCCGTACTCTTCAAAAATTTCAAGGCCAAGACAAAGACTGACAAGTTGGTCTGGGTTAAAGCAGACTAAACAGACCTGAAAACTGACTACAACCCATCATCTGAGATTTTCTCTTGCTCCACTGGACACAAACAAAACTGGATCAGGCCTATAGGTTAGATAATGGTGCTGTGTCAATTTCCTGACCTTGATCATTACAATTTGTTATGTAAAAGAAAGTTCTTGTGTTTCAGGAAAGACACACCAAGTAGGGGTATAGAGGTATATAGGGGCAAAGAGGCATCATGTCTGCAACTTCCTCTCAAACGGTTCAAGAAAAAAATGTATTGTGTGTGTGTTTGCAGAGAAAAGATTAAGCAAATGTGGTAAAACGTTAGCACTTGAGAAATCGCAGTAAAAGAAAAATTTTTGTACTGTTGGAACTTTTAAGTCTAAAATTACACAAAATAAAAGTGAAAGGAAAAAAATAATAGCAATACAACAGAACTTTATTTGCACATCTTGCATTCCTTGCTGGCAAGGCCATCATGACAAAGACTGAAAAAGTTCACCTTTGTGTTTCCCACAGCACCTAACACAGCAAGCATTAGACACTCAATAAAGGTTGAATTCATCACATTGGCAACATAGAAATTAAATGCATCTGGGAAAATGTATAGTGAGAAAATATAAAAGCAATTTTTACAAAAGCTTAAAGCAAATGAGGGGAGAAGCGTTTAGAACGTACCTTTCCCTCTCTCCAGGGCTACAGGTAAAGGATGGTAGTTGTGGGCACCATATTTAGATTCCCGTTCAAAAATGGAATCAGAAGATGGAGGGCCTTGGACCGTTTTTTTGGTTGCAACAGATGTAGCAGAAGCCACTGAAGAATGAACTCCACGACGAAGGACAGCAATGGTCTGCAAATGTGCTAGTTTGGAAAACATGATGTCCTTCAAGGAAGAATACCACTAACCTGTGAAAAGAAAAGGCAGTGAGGGTAAGGATCTTCCCGGAGCAGGTGTATGTCAACTTACTGTGTGCTGAGCATTTACCACAGTCTGACAACAAATCAGAAAAATAAGAGAACTAAAGACCTTCTGGGAAGCCTGAAGGCCAACAGGGGGAACAAGTATGTAAACATTCACAGTAAGCCTGACACGTGCTAGAGGAGGGTGTGAGCAAAGTGCTACATGCTAGGAGCCCGAGGGAATCTGCAAGGACGGCAAAGAGAGGCAGAACACCTTCTGTGCCACTTGACGGTTTTATAGTAAAGACACACACACGCTCTCGCTCTGGGGCAGTCAGGCAAGGCTGAACCGCGGAGGGACTGAAGAGGCGGTACCTAATCTTGGAGGCTGAGCAACCATTCTAAAGGTATTTATGCGGGGGTGTGAGACTCAGATGGATTACAGACTACAGCCCAGAGGCAGAGACCAAATCAGAAAAGCAGGCTGCCTACTCCAGCGATAGCAGCCACGGGGGAGGGGACAGAGGGACTGAGAACTACTCTGCACATGGACTTGGTCCTTACACCTGAAGAGTAAGGAAATTAAGGAAGAATTTGGTTCCTACAAAGATACCAGGGACCATCCTAAGGCAAAAGGACTAGGTGTGGCGAGGGAAAAGTGATTTACTGGGGGATGGGAGGAGCTTGGTTAAGTGTAACACCAAAGACAGAAACTACAGAAGGTACAATCTGCTATTTAGCCACAAATATCTAAAACTTTCACAGGTCAAAACTATCATAAACAAATGTGAAAGGTAAAAAGACAGTGAAAAAAAGGTTTTGTAATTTATAATAAATAGGCTTTGAAGACCTTTTACAATAAGTGGAACAGACCAAAACCAAAATAAAACAATATATATGAGATGAAAAGCTGCACCTCCCAAAAGAAACAGCCTACTCTGCTAGCATGATTGTTTCTATAACATTAATCCCCAAAAAAGTGCACCACAAAGGAGGGAAAAAGGCAATTAGAATTAGAGAACATCAAACTACAATAAGGTAAGAAGCTTAGTAATAAAACCTAAACATCACTGAGCACATCTATTTATATATTTCAGGGTCACGGCTTTTCTCACCCACTACCAGCAGTCCTAAAACCAGCCCCACCACCGTGCTTTGTATTCCAACTGTACCATTAATAGTCACCAGAAGCCAGGAAGTGTAGACTGAGCTATGGGAAAATCCAAGAATAAATAAGGAAATTGGGGAAAATACATAGGAATCACATCGGGAGCAAGGGGGTGTTTTTTTTTTAAGATGAATTCAAGATTAGTGGAAAGTTGCCAAACACTTAATATGTCTATACTTAATTTTTTAAAACTAGTTAACTAGCTAACTCATGTTTCAACAGAACTCTGTCGATGACAAGTCATGCCACGCATGATCTCCTGGCCCTCAATCTGAGCTGCCAAATAGCCGAACCTAATACTTGGAGCTTGGCTTGCTTCCCCCTTCAACTTGGCACTACCCAGTAAATCCAACGGAATGTGCCAACTGCTAAACAAACCCAGCACTCTGGTTTGCCAAGACTCACCAACTATCTTTTTTCTTCCCACAGTTCAGATAGAACAGACCCAGGGACAGTCTTCAGAGGGTCCACTAACTCCTGAAAGAAAAAGCAGAATTATATGCATAAGTGCAATTTTTCTAGGGAGAACGTCCCTAATTTCCACTAGATTTTATTTCAAAGAAGCATGTAGTAATAACAAAAACACTTACGTAAGAATCATTAAGACTGGAGACAGCCACTAGCAAAAGTGCAAAAATTCCGTTATACTAGACACAACTTCCCCAAAACACTACTGCTAAGTCAAAAACATCAATTTTAACCTTATTTCTTGAAGAATTAATGCCATTTGACCAACTACAAAATCAAAACAAATCAATTTTTGCCTCGGTCAAATTAGCAGTAAAACAGTGCTACTCAGATATTCTTTAAACACTTTCAGAAAAGAACTGTAACCACAATGAAAGCCTTAGATATGTTTGTGCTCTTAGACCATGAATTTCACTCTCAAGATTCTGTCCTAAAGAAATACTCAGGAATGTGAAGAAATAGTCATAAATATAAGGTGTACAGTAATATGAGAATGGTTCAACATAGTCACATACACAATATACTGTCATTTAAAATAATTATAGATTTTAACGACACGGAGAGATGTTTTAGGATATGTTTAGGTGAAGAAAATAAAATCCTATATATACAGAAAGGTCAACTCTACAAAAAAATACTATACACAAGAAAGCTCACTGTGGTTATCTTTCTACTGTTCTATACTTTCCATGTTTTCTAATGATTGAGAATTACATTTATAATCAGAAAAAGTTATTAAAAGTGAAACTGTCTGCCTAGGTTGTCACATTAGACAAAGAGAAAGCTTAGACAACAAAGAAAACCAAACTAAGACAAAAAGAGGATTTTGAGAAGCTCTGAGAACACAGATTGTGGTTAAAAGAAAAGCAGAAGTCACTACTTCTGGAAGCACAGCAATCAGGTCTTAAAAGTCATCTCTAAGGGATAGGGGCAAATTCTAAAATAAAAACGATTCTCTATGATGATTTTTCTATCAGAGTCTACAGCTCTGTGACTTCTCTAGAAGCTGGCAGAGAGGCTCTGAAAAAAATAAGGTATTAAGAAAAATACTATAAACTCTCTAAGTAGCATCTTTTAAGTTAATCAACAAGTTGATTCAATATTGTGAATGAAAGGAATCTTTGAAACTACCTAAATTCAACACTCTCCTTTCATACAAGACATTTGCTCAGCTCCTTCGCAACAGAAATGGGACAAAATATCCATTTACATGCAGAGTTCAGGCCGTTTTATTAAAAAATAATTACAACTTACTGACAAAACAGGAACATCCAAAACATTACTACTACTCATCTTGAAGGTTTTTAAAGATGAACTCCGAATATCTAAATTCAACTGGGGAAAGTCCTGTGGTTGGATGCATCAAATGTACTAGAATCCTGTAAGCACATTTCTATTAAAGAACCTTCTGTGTTCAAGTTACTGTGCTTGGCACTATATAAGAAATATTAGAACAGAAATGAGATAGGCTTAAAAATAGCCAACATCATCAATTTCCTCTTCCAAAAAGGCTTGGGAAACCCGGAGAGTAAAGCCCTCAGAGTTTGGAGACCAGGATTTCAATTTTAGCTCGGGCTCTTAAGAGTATCTTTGTTTGGATGATTTTGTCAATTTCTTTCAGCTTCAATGTCCCCATTTGTAAAATGAGGTTGAAGCCATCCAAGGCCATGGCTGAGGACTAAATGAGATAATGTTATGTTAGCACCAAACTTAGCACAAAATGGCCACTCAAATAGTTCTCTCTTCCCTTAAATTCATAAGGGAATTAGCCAATTTCTGCAACATAATAATCAACAGTGCTAGAGTTTTTTTCTCTAAAAAAATTTTTTCTATAGATAAAAAATTAGAAACACAAGAAAATTACTTGGAACTGCATAGTAATCATTAACTTTTTAATTTTTTCTACAAATATTATACATGTTAGTTTTATTTCACCCTTCCCTAAAGAATTTTACCACAATAAGACCTTCTGAAGATTCCCAGGAAACCTGCAGATTTTTGTCACAAGTCCTAACACTTCAGGACACTTCTTTTCATGCCTACTAGAATCCTTCTAGACTCCTTAAAAGGACAGTAACCATGTCTTAAAGTTCACTTTGCAACTCCAGAACCTAGCCCAGGTTTGGGCATTCCTTGTCTGCCAAAAGAACGAGGTCACTCCTAAAAAGACTTAGGACTTCTGAGGGAGTCAAGGGAGCAACAGACAGCAAGGCCGGCCCCAGATATGATTAAATCACCCACCACCCCCATGGAGCTGCATCTAAGAGGAGGCTAGCATGATATCACCAAGAATAATCTTTCCATCAAGAGTTCACCTCATTAGATTAGTTCACTCCAGGCTGTGCATTTAACACAGGCCCACGCTCAGGTCTTGGAGAAAAAGACAATTACTGACAGTAAAAACTTTAACACTGAATGTTTTCAGGAATCCACATAATTAACAAAGTCCTTCAAATTACTATTATTTCCTCCTGTTACATCCTATCTCCACTAGAACACACCTAAAACAGAATTCCATACAAGGTTGTATGGCAAAGAGTTAATTTAGCATACCTTATGAAATACTGTTTTTCTAAATCACTCTAAAAGAAAAAAACTGTAAATTCATCAAAAAGCCACTTAAAATATTCCACTTGAGGAATAAATTTGGTTTTACTACATCTGTCAAATATTTACTTCTCTTGAGGTAACCATTCACAAATACAGTCCTTTTTGAAAAGTTCTGCCAACAAAAGCTTTTTGGGTTTTTTTTTACGTAATCTGGCTAAAATTCAACTCAAGTGCGTCACTGGCAAACACCTTAAGCGTTACTACTGAAAAGGGACTGGCTCTATTAACTCACACCCTCCACACACCTCCAAAATCCATTCATCACTACTTTTAAATGTATGAGATTTCACCCATCCCCAAGAACTCAGTAAAGGGCATAAAATACGCACTCAAATCACTGTAATAAAAGCAGAGTATGGGTGGAAATACAAATAAGACAGCCTCTTCGAGGAAAAAAAAACGCCTTTCCAAGAATTTTTACCATTATTCTTTTTGGGGAACAAATCCAAAACTAATCTTGAACACCATGAAAATCTGTAAATCCAAAACAATAAGCTTTATTATTTAAGTCCTGTTTTTATAAAAAGATTCTACTTTCCCACTTGGATCTTTTTTATACTCAGGAACCAGATTCTCTTAAAACAGAACCAGGATATTCCAATGAAAGAAGTCTATTGTTTCTTCCAAATGGGTACGACGAAGAATTTGGATTACATACCTAAAGAACAGCTCCAGGCTCAGGTCGAGAGAACTAGTTTATCTTCAGAAACTCTTACAAACCTGAAAAAGAGATTTAGAATTGAGAAACTGGAGTTTAGTAATTTCTTAAAGCCACTTCGTTCCAAAGTCACTCCTTTTCCCCCTTAATTTATCACCTTAACTTGTCAAAGAAGTAAAACTGAACACTAAGAAGGTGAGAGATACAGTGACAAAGGGAAGAGACTGTAGGTCACTGAGGACAAGTGTACCACCGAACTGAACCAGAATTTATTAACGCTCAGCACTGCTGCCAAAGAAACTCAAGGGATGAAGTCTTCGCGCTGAAGCCCTGTTGACCCCATCCCCTGACACCACGTAACTAACCTGCACTTACTGTAAGGTAAGGCTCTACTTCCCTGATTTTTTATTTGGACAAACGCTGGAAGGGTCAAGGAGATAGGTTGGGGGAGGGGAGAGATGGGCAGGTTGGCGGCAGGTCCTGGGAGCTGACTGGGAGAACTCGGACCCCTTCTCAGTAGTCTCCATCGGGTCCCTGGCCCCATAACAAAAGCCACCGTTTACTGAGCAGTCCTGCACGTATCCAGGATGCGCCCTCCTGGCCGACATCAGGAACCCGGGGTGCCTGCGGGGCCCGGAGCCCCCACCCCACGCGCCGGAGCCCTAAACACCTCCTCCCCGGAAATGCGGAGGC